ATTATGAGAACATAGAAAGTAAGCTGAGGACATTTTGGACATTCATCACAATTAACAAATACTAGGTGTAGAGTCCAGACAAAAGGCAATTACTATCAGTTGTTTTTTCTTCACTTTTATTTTCTTATTGACCCCATTAATGGAGGGAACCTCAACTTTACAAACTCCAAAAAACACCAAACGAAATTTACTTCTGAAAATCAAAACTAAACAGTAGTAGCAATCTCCAAAACCCCCTTTTCTCTTCTGGCGCCATTTGTTCACTAACCCTTCTTTCAAACCAAACTTTTTATTTTTTCAATATAAACTCTATTTAAAGTTACATTCTTGATTTTTTTTCCATATTACTGTCTTTTTTTTGGGTGAAAAAAAATGATGGAAATGGAAGATAAAGAGAGTACAGAATCTGGTTCACTCGGTGTTAACTCAGAATATGACTCACCACCGCCACCGCCACCGCCACAACCACAACCACCAGCAACAGTCAATGGGAGTTTGACAAGTGGCAGTGGTAGTGGGGTTGTGCCACCACAAGTGCTGAATATGAATATGAACATGAACATGAGTATGACAACAACTGAGGGGGCAGTAGGGGTGGTGGTCGTGGGTAGTGGGGGTGGTGGGGTAGTGGGTAGTGGTGGGGAGAAAAAGAAGAGAGGGAGGCCAAGAAAGTATGATGCTGAAGGGAACTTAACACCTCAATATATAAAAGCTGCTGCAGCAGCAGCTGCAGCTAAAGCAGCAGTGGCGGCGGCGGCGGCGGCGGCAGTGACGTCACCTGGTGGTGGTGGTGGTTGTGGAGTGACACCACCGTCAGGTTTTACTATAACGTCACCGCCTTCTTCTGCCTTTTCTTCTTCTTCCTCTAAAAGAGGACGTGGCAGACCTTCTGGTTCTTCTGGTAACTTGCAATTAATTGCTTCTTTGGGTAAGTCTGTTAAGAGATTTTGCTCAAAGATCTCTTAATTCTTAAAAAAAAAACTAATCTTTATATGCTTGTTGATTAAAAGGGACAAACCCTAGAATGGTCCTTTTTATTTTTGTTTTTGGACAGCATAAGGGTAAGGTCTACGTAAATACTACATTCTTCAGATCCCACTTGTAATGATTTTAATGTGTTATTGTCATTCACATTATACACGCTCCCCTGATCTTACTTGTGCGACTTCCCAGGCTATTGTTGTCCTTTTTTGTACACACTAACCTCTCCTGACCCAACTTTACTGGGATGTTATTGTTGTTGTTTTTGTTGACTGAATCTGAAATGAGGCAGGCAAAAAAATCCAAGATTTGGTTTTGTTAGCTTTAGTTTGTTTTACCTAATGATTTTTGTGACGTAAGAGTGGTATGTGCTTTTTGGTGTTTGAAGGTGAGCTGTTTGCACATACAGCTGGAGGGGATTTTATGCCACATGTGGTTACTGTGCATACCGGAGAGGTAATTTCTTCTTTTTCCTTTTTCTTTTTCTTTTTGATGCCTATGTTTTCTGTCTTTAATGATGTAATGAAATGAAATACTAGGATCTCCTTTTCAGATCTGAAATGTTATGTGTATGTGTTTTAGGATGTGGCAGGAAAGGTTTATTCTTTTGTGCAGAAGGGTTCAAGAGGGATCTGTGTTTTGTCTGCAAATGGGGCTGTTTCTAATGTTACAATTCGTCAGCCTGGTTCTTCTGGTGGTCTCTTGACATATGAGGCATGTCTTTTCTTGTTTCATTTTTCTCTTAATCTTGTATACCTTGTATCTTTTTTAAGATTGTGTTAGCTTTTACTGAGGTTTAGCTAATTAGATGCTTCTGTTTTGTTGTTGCCCTATCTCAACCACCCCCACCTGAAAAAAGAAAAAAACAGAAACAGAAAAAGAAAGTCTCAAGATCAAGCTCTAAAGAATTAAAGGATGGTTTCTCTGCGTATATATAGTTTCTTTCTTTTTTGTTTGATAATGTATATATTCTGCGAAAATGTAGTTATAACTGGCGAAGAATCGTTGGTACCTGCCCTGAACAAGAGTGATGTGTTGATTAGCTACACGTCTGTTCGAACCCTCTTACGAACCAAAAAGCCTGATTATATAAGTGAAAAAGGTAGAGGGTCGGACCAATATCCACCAAGTTACTAATTGTGGGCTGACTAGCTCTCGGAGACTTCTGGGGTATAAGGAAAAGAGAGAGAGAGAGTTGTTGGTGGCTTGACCTTTATTTGGTCTTGGAAATTTGCAGAGGCAGAACAAGGATTTGAAATTTATAGGTTCCTACAACGACCTCGAGTTATACATACAATAATAACTGGGTTACAATCAAATATTTATAGATATAGGCAAATGCTACTAGGTTCATGGGAACCATAAGCTTAAGGCTAGATCCGCCCCCTGGAAATTTGTATCATTATTTATAGGAAATTGACTAATTCATTCTCTCAGTGAACTTGCTAACCGTGATTTAGTTTTGCCGTTACATATGCGTAGGAAGATTAGCTTATTACTGGAGGCTACACCACAGTCAGAACTAAAACACTTCGTATACTAGTGATATGACTTAAGTGTTTCAACAAATCTTTGTCTGGAGCCTGAATGCCATGTTGCTTGGAATGGTTGAACTTTTAAAATAGCGGTGAGGGGAGCTCCAGTCTTTATTCATCAGAGTACAATAACTTACTTCAAGGACTAGAAGATGTACCCGTGACTGGATAATTCAACTCTGCTATTGCATGTTCATTGAATCTTTAACTGTCACACACTTATTTTCTGTATTCTAGTGATTTTCCTTTCTCAAATGGGATCAGCTAGTTTACTTTCTGTGAGTTCATCTCCTCATTCTAGGATATATTTGTATTCATCCTGAATGACTTTGCTTATGTTACAGTGCAAAGCATGAATCAGTGCCCACCATTCTGGAGAAACCGGTGTTTTTCCTTCTGCCAAATATGTTGTTGCCTTTTTTTTTTGGTAATTGTGTTCAAATGCTGTTCTTGTTTGACAACAGCAAAGATCACCAGAATTGTTGAAGCGGTCAAATTTTAGCACATTAACTTTAGTATGTCAGCGTTGCATAATTTAGTGTTTGAAACGCAAGGATCAAATAGAGTTGACACTACTTGTCGGGATGAAAATGGTTATCAGATGTCCTATAATTGTCTCCACTTGAATGAGCTTGCATCATATTATTTAAGGAAATTAATGCTCCCTAATTCTTTTCAGTTTACATGCCTATTTTCTTCAGCAAGAAAAATGTTGTTGCAGTCTAGAAAGGAAAAAGCAAGCCTGGATTTTTTCATGGATGACTAACCTAATACGCTTGCTGATAATTATATACCCATTGAATCTCATTTCATCATTTTACTATCTCAGCTCTCATGTGCTTTTTGTTTAAGAGTTGTTATGTCGTCTATGAGAAAACAGGAGTTATCACCACCTTTTATATCCTGGAAAATTCATATTTAATTACTCTGATGATGCAGGGCCGCTTTGAGATCTTAGCATTAACTGGGTCTTACACTGTTTCTGAAAACGGTGGCATGAAAAGTAGGTCTGGTGGATTAAGTGTTTCGTTAGCTGGCCCAGATGGCCGTGTTATTGGTGGTGGTATTGCTGGTTCACTCATCGCTGCAAGCCCCATCCAAGTAAGTCCTGTTATGTTATTACTATATAATAATTTATAGGCCAATTATCTTTTATGTTGTCAAATTTTCTGAATTACGCGTCCACAGCCAAAATTGTTATTTCTTCTTATATTGCTAGATGGTGGTCGGAAGTTTCATGCCAAATGCTTTTATAAAACACAATAAAAGAAAGCATCACCAAGTCGAACCAAGAATGGCTCCCGTTATCCACAGCTCTCCGAACCCTGTTTCAATGGTAAGACCTGTATCACATGCACCACTTGTGAACAACATGACTCTGACTCAGGCACCTCAAATACCAATGCAAAGCCACGGAGAAGTCGATAACAGCACGAGCAACAAAGATATGCCAAATTCCACATCTACCGACACTTCTGACTGTAATGGATCGGAGCCAACTTTGGAGCAAAGACCATATCCTGATATTAACCTGTCTATACCTATGGAGTAGCTTGTTAAGTCGGGAAACCAAACTTGACGATAGTTTCTTTTCCATTTAGCTGATTCCTTGTTATCCTGACTGCTGATTGTAACTTGAGGAATCATTTTAGGACTGCCTTAGAAACTTTGAAGTATGCTGACGACTAGAAGAGGGCTAATATATCTTTTGTTTTCTGGTTGTAATGTCTATACAGATCTTTGTTCTTTTCTTTTTGAAGGATTTTACCCAGGAACCGATGCTATATAGTTGCATTAATGTCAGTCGGAAGTCCAAGAGCACTCACTTGATTCTTATATTGATATCATGTTTTATGCCTATTTAGTTGTTAAAGGCTTAATGCAGTCTCTCTGAGGCTGTATTGTCTTTCGTAAATAGCCTCTCTACCTGCAAACGTCTGCGTACACACTACTCATTCCAATCCCATTTGTAAAAATATACTGAGTAATTTGTTGTTGGAGAGGTTACATGATTCTTTCAGTGTAACCTTATTTTATTTTAGTGCGTTAATGTTAACAGGTAAGGACATACTCCCACCATTCCACTTTATGTAGCATGATTCAGAGTACGAGTGTACAACAACAATAACATATCGTAAAATCTCACAAGTGGATTCTAGAAAGGGTAATGTGTACTTAGACTTTATCCTTACCTTTCGAAAACCCTTGGCTCATTCGGAGTACAAGAGTTAAAGTTTTTAATTTTGTATGTGAAATTAGATAGATTCTTCAAGTTTTTGAAATTAAAATTTATATATTTGGAAACTACATATAAAGAATTACTAGTAATTATAATTTATAATTTAAAACATTTACTAAAAATTTAAGAAAAATGTGATAAAAAACAACCTCGTAGGTTCCCAAATAGTAATAATATTGCCAAATAAATTGAAACATATTTGTTATAAACTGTGAAGACATTTATATTGCACCTTTCCTCAAATATTGTAGTAAACAGTAGTAGATCATTGACATTGTGAAAATAGGTACTTGAAACACTAAGTGAAACATAGTTATATAAGTTTTAGCCTATAGTAAGTAAAATCTCAATGACTAAACTTCAGAAGCTTCCATTTTAATGCCAAAACGGAGAATTATCTTAACATAGTAATCCCAATTAGGATGAGAAGCTGTAGTTGCAGGTTGTCCAAAGGGATGTTAGACCATCCAAAAACTTGCGCAGATCTCCCTTAGGACCTATTCAAACCCCACAAAAAGAAATTATCACGAGTTGGCTATGTAAATCAACAAAAAGATAAAATTAAATGTTAGGACTTCATTATTTATATACATTGATACTACTACAACAACAACAAACGCAGTACATTCCCACAAGTGGGATGGAGAGGGTAGTGTGTATGCAGATCTCACCCCTACCCTATGCAAGTAGAAATGCTATTTCCGTTAGACCCTCGGCTTTAAGCAAGCATGCATTATATATAATGAAACAACAACAATAACAACAAACCCAGTGTAATCTCACAAGTGACATCTGAAGGTAGTGTATATGCGGACCTTACCCTACATTAAAGAAGGTAGAAATGCCGTTTTCAGAAGACCTTTGGCCTCGGATGGGTAAAAGGAAGGGCATGCATTATATATAATGATAGCGAAAACAATTAATACAATAGATATAATTTATAAGTATTAGTTACCACTTACCAAGAAACGTGTCTCTGCCGTTTCCAACTTTGAAAATAGGAGGGAAAACCGCTGTATTAGGCTGGAAAACAAGAACTATAATCAGTTAGTCTCTATTAAGAGATTTATTATGTCTATATCCAATCTTGTACTCTTGTTTTCAATGAAATGCAAAACGTACAGGGTTAAGTAGAGCTACGTGGGGCTCATCATCAATCATAAGTATGTTGGATTCTGAAAATTTCCCACCACGAAAAGGAAGGATATGATACTTGTTTTCCCATATTTTCTTCATTTGTTTCAAGAATATGGGCTTCTCCTTCTTCTCCAAGCATTTAAAGCCACTATCAATGCATTTTCCTTGATCCTAGAAAATAAATGAAATTTCAAAAGATTTGTTTGTTTTCTAAAATTTAACCAAAAAGGACAGCCCGATGCACGAAACATCCCGCGTTTACGCAGGGTTCGAGGAAGGGCTGCACCCCAAGGAAGTATGATGTAACGATCCTATTTTTATTCAAGTATTAGTGGCTGATTCCACGGCTCGAACTCGTGACTTATAGGTCACATGGAGACGGGTGGTCCAAGGCTTCTTTCTCAAATTTAACCTAAAAGGGTAGCCTAGTGCATAAAATATCCCGCGTTTACGCAGGGTACGAGGAAGGCCCGCACTCCAAATACAAGCACACAATCCTGATTCAAGCATTAGTGGCTGATTCCACAGCTCGAACCTATGACTTATAAATAGCACAAAGATAACTATACCGGTGATGCGAGGCTCCCCTTCTTTCTCAAACTAAAACTCAATAAACAAAATGAGTTCTTAGCTTATTAGATTAAATTGAAAGCCACTTACCCATACAAATAACAACTTTGGTCGAAGTCCAACCATGATGTTGTCTAGAACAGATCCATGTTTCTCCTATTATACGGACAAAAACAAAGCTATAGTAACAATAATTTCAAGAAATTATTATTAACTTACTAGGTTTAAAACATTTTAATTCGAATACTAACTCCATAGCAGACGACCACAGTCCGACTTCAAATCTCTCAAGGCAAAACTTCATAAATTGATCACAGAAAGGTCTCTTGAAAGCTGCGTTTAACAAGGCATCACAACATAATTAAGCTATATATAATTAGTTAAACCAAAAACAAAAAAAGAAAAGAATCATTATAACAATTAACCAAACATATCAATGAATCATCTTTTACTCCACACACACACACACACATCATCTTTTCCAGTGTCCTTTGTTTCATCTTCATGATCACTATTATCATCATAAAAAACCAGGTTTTTAATTCAACTTCAGATTTGAAAGCTTTCTTGCCATAGTTGAATTTAGAAGAAAGTTTAGTGATAATACCACTAAGACAATTGAAAAATCCATGGCTGCATCATTCTGTATTTATAGTGGTATTCAAGCTTTAATGGTTACAATTAACCCCTTCAAATACTGTAATTAAACGATGAAGTCCTTCCACTTCCCAAGATTCATGTATATATGCTCAAAATTAATCTAGAGGATAGAATCTGATCAGTTACTCCAAAATGATTATCCAAAAGATTATGTAAGGGTCCAGGGAAGGACCACATCCTTAAGGGTGTGAGGTAGACAGTCTACCCTAATACAAGCATTAGTGACTATTTTCTCGGTTCAAACTCGTAACCTATAGGTTATATGAGGACAACTTTACGGTTACTCCGAGGCTAAAGATTATGCGCATTCAATCGAAAATCAGTAGTATATCTGTTTAGTCTACTACAATTATCATAAACTTGCCAAATCAGTACTAACCTAAAGAGCAATAGTTTATCAAGGGGTGGATAACATTTTTAATTAAATTGTCAAATAAATATTTCAAGTGTCTAGCGTAGTGATTACAAAATGATTCGCCATAGACATGTTTCGTTTGATAAAAGGAAAAAAATAAGGGAACACTTGCAATATAGAATACATATTTATATCAAGTAACATGAAGATCCGATATATATTTCATTTGGATTCTTTAGTTGGATCATTTATTTTGGTTATACATAAAAGATTTTTGGAATATTCGTGGTATAACGAATTTTGGTGGCAATCACAGAAAGGACAGTTATTAATTCTTATGTTCACCATGTCTCTTAAGCGCTAGAAATCAAAAGTGTGATTAGATTATAAGTACTATCTCAAGAATATATATACTTTATCGTATCCTAAGCAAAACATGTTCAAATTAAATCATTATAGGTCCATTAAGCAAAACCGGATTCATGATTTAAACTCTATGAATTCAATATTTATGCTATTAGCATTGAATTCATTGTACGTTTAAAAATTATGGGTTCATATCAATTATTTATTACAATTTTAATAAAATTTTAAATATAAATTTATGCTCCACATGAAAAATACTGAGTTTATAATAACCCGACAAACAATATGGTGCATCCGCCTTTGGTCACAGGTTGAAGAAAAAAACATGTCCACATCAAAAAGATAAAATGGATTTAATTCAAATAGATACATAAAAGGCTTGCAACTTGCAAAAACACAAGACTACACACACCATTACATAAAAAAGTAATACTCCTAAGAAAAGATTTACATAGTTAAGCAAAAAACCAGTAACCTTCTTTACATACTATATAGTAAATCCTTGGTAGCACTTTAAGAAGGGATTTTCAAGAGCTATTAAATTAGAGTTCCTAATCATAGCAGTCAGAGTCATAATCAGAGTAATTAGAGCCAGACGCTTCCTCTGCGGGAATTATCTTAGCATAGTAATCCCAATTAGGATGAGAAGCTGTTATCGCAGGTTGTCCAAAGGGATGTTCTTTCACGTATGTTGGAACATCATCTGCATCTGCTACGCCATCCAAAAACTCTTGCATTTCCCCTTTAGGACCTATATATTCAACACCCACAAAGATAAATTATTTAGAGTTAGTTATGTACATCAACATATAAATTCTTCGGTCAGCATTTATTTTATACACACCAACAATGGACACTGCGAAGATTTTTCCACTATAGCCAGGGGCGGAACCAGTGTACATATTACAGGTTACAGGTTCGGCCATACCTAGTAATTTTTGTCCAAACACCTGTATTAGTATCAAGAAATCCATTAAATATGAAAATTTCTTAATTGAGAACCCAGTAACTTAAAAGAACTACAATTTCGAACCCAATAACTTTAAATTCTGGCTCCGCCTCTAACTATAGCTATAATTTAACCTATAGCAACAAATTGCTTGTCATAGTTCAGGTTACTAATTCTACTTGTGATTGATTATTATATGCAGATACATATATGTAGCCTAATAATAAAATAATTCTGACACCATAAGTGTATATAGAATAATTAAGTTAAACTCCAGTCAGTGATTAAAGGAGTAGTAGAATATATTTGTTACCAAGAAATGTGTGTCTGCCATCTCTAACTTTGTAAGCATGAGGAAAAATTGCTGTATTAGGCTGCAAATGAAACAAGAACTAACAATTAGTCTTACAATCGAAATAGATAAGATTTCTCCAGTTTCACTAAAAAGGCAGCTCGGTGCATAACTCATTCCAACCGGGTCCGGCGAAGAGCCGCACCTCAAGGGGTGTGATGTAAACAACATAGCCTAATGAAAGTATTAGTGACTGCTTCTACGTCTTGAACATGACGTATGGGTCACACCGATACAATTTTACTGTTCCACTCTTGTAATATAATCTTGTTTTTTTTTCAATGAATTGCAAAACTTACAGGGTTTAAAAGAGCTGTGTGGGGTTCATCATCAATCATAAAGAGTGTTGGATTCTGAAAATCTTCCACCACGTAAAGAAGGATTATACTTGTTTTCCCATATTTTTTTCAGCTGTTTCAAGAATATGGGCTTATTCTTCTTCTCCAGAGTTGAATAATCGCTCTCAATACATTCATCTTGATCCTAGAAAAGTAAATGAAATTTCAACAAGATACCTGTTTAGTTTTCTTTAATAAGCAAATAACAAAATTAGGGGTGTCAAGTTGAGCCCAAACCAATTTGACCCGTTCAAGGCTGGGCCGATCACTGATCCGTTGAACTTAGTCCATTTTGACTCAACCCATCTCAGTCCATCTAAAGTTTGACTAATTTTTAGCCCAAATTAATTCATCACTAAGTTTGCTAAAATATCTTTAAAATAATTTTTTTTTTATATGTTATATATAATCATAACAAAAGGAAAAAAATCTTATTTGATGAATAAATAATTCATAAAAAAAATAATACACATTAATTCAAGCTTGATAAGAGTTGGGCGAGTTGGACTATAATCTAAATATTAATCTAACTAGACCCAGTTCACCTCAGCTCAAGTTACTTTTGGATGGGTGACTTAATCCATTTTGACTCGCCCAAAATTAACCCGACCCGCCTATTTGACAAACCTAAGCAAAATTAAATATTGAAAGCCACTTACCCATACAAATACCAACTTTCGTCGAAGCCCAAACCATGATGTTGTGTAAAATAGGATCCACGTTTCGACTATCATATAGACAAAAACAAAGTTAGAGTAACAATAGCTTCAACTCACAGAGATAATTAGTTCACTTGATTTAAAAAAAAAAAATTAAAACTAGATTAATACTAACTCCCTGGCAGAAGACCACAGCCCCACTTCAAATCTTTCAAGGCAAAACTTCAAAAACTGATCACAGAAAGGTCTCTTGAAAACTGTTTGACAAAAGGTATATACATAACAAAAGTTAAACAAGCTAAAAGATCATTTACAATTAATTGACAAATATCAATGTAATATCATATTTACTCAGTAAAACACACAGAACCAGAGTCAGGATTTGAAACTTATAGGTTCGTAATTCTAATCTTTTTATGTTATTGAGTTTTAAATTAATAATTTATACATATTTCATAATTTTTTTTTAAAAAAATATAGGGTTTGAACGACATGCTGGCTCCGCCGTAACGTCGAACAGCGGATTCGTTTGGACGATGCACCCTATCAACCAGCAGACCTCCAAGATTAAGCACAAGAAGTTTCTTTTTTGGGCCAAGGTTCAGTTTTTCTAAGGAAAGGTCTAAGTTTTTTCCAGTGTCCTTTGTTTCATTTTCATTATCACTGCTATCACTATCAGAAACAACGCTCTTCAACTTCAGGTTAGGAAGATTTCTTGCCATAGTATATAAAATCTAATTTGAAGAAGACTTTAGAGGTAATATTAATGAGAAAAACATGATACTTCTATAAATAGTGGTGATTCACCGTTTAATGGTGAAAAATCCTTTCAAATACTGTAATTAATTAAGATATGGATCAGGCTATATCCACTTCCCAAGGTTCATGCATGCATGCTCAAAATCGAAAGGCAATTAAAAATCTGTTCAATCACCCTTTTTAAATTATAGGTTCAAAATTATATTCTTTCTGAAATTTAAATAATTTTCACATATATATATATACACACACATTCAGCGCCAAAACAAGACTGTCTGAAGTGGGATTTGAACCATCAATTTCACTTGTATAGGTGCATATATTTAAATATTTTTTTAAAAAAATATAAGATTATTATAAATAATTTAAGAAAAAGAGTATGGGTTCTCGTGAACCCATACCCCTTAACCTAGATAACACCCATGCTTCTAATTAATTTTAAGATGATAATATTACATGTTAGTAAATCGGTTTTTAATTTGACTTGTGTCCATAATTAATAGATTTCTTAATATAATTATAGAATTTGAAGTAAAACTATATCCTGCCTTCTAGCTCCGTCCCAAATAATTAGCCTACAAAAATCAGTACTAACTAATCTATTGGCTAGAGAGCCAGTGGCGACCCATGTACAATGGTGTGGGTTCACGCTTCTCCCTCACCCCTCCTAGTACCAAATAGAAACAAACAACGCTAAAAGTTACAGACTTACAGTCAGGCATCGATTCTCTTAAAAGTGTTGCGGTGCACTGATTAGACTATGGCGAACCCATGGTGTGCGTTCACGATCACGTGACCTGTAGCATGTTTGGTCAAACTTCTAAATTCAGCTTATTTCAAGAAATATTTATATGTTTGGCCAAACTTTTATAATTAGTTTATTTTGAAAAGTAATTTTCTCAAAAAGTACTCGTCAGGGGCGTATACAAGATTTTCTATAAACGGTGTCGATATTTAAAAAGTGAACATATGAACAAATCATTAACAATATTATACTTTAAAAGAAATAAAATTTATATTATATTAATAAAACTTAATTCAAGCATATTATTATAAATCGCCTCATTGAATATATGTAACTTTTGTTGATATGAGGCACGAAAAGGAGTAACCTAAATATTAGGCAACAAATACATGTCAAATGTTGAATCGAACTCTCGACCTATGCCAGGAAAATAAGCACTTGACCATTGAGCTGCAAGCAATATTTTATTAGGTGATGTCAATTTTTTTCAGTGTACTTGTTTTTCATATCACATAGTATATGTTATTAAGTAAATTTTTGGACGAAGCGGTGTCAGCTTCGACCAAGGTAAATCCGCCCCTGATACTTGTGGTGATAAACAATTTGTGTTTGGTTATTTAATTTAAAAAATTACTTTAGAGCAGCAACTATTGTTTGACCAAAATTATAAAAGTGCTTATAAGTATTTTTTTTCCTCTCAAAATTTGGAGAAATTACTTTTTTTACTTCTCAAAAACTATTTTTGCTTCTACTCAAAATCACTTTTTTCCTTCTAAAAACTTAATCAACACACCTTAACTTTGAAAAAAAAAAAAAAACTTTTGACCAAAAATAAGTATGACCCAAAAGATACTTGGCAAACATGCTACTAGCTATGTAAACTCGTATAATAATTGATAAATCTGCTATGAGAACAAAGCTAAATAAAAAGTGGCCGAGTTCATAGGATTAGATCTCAGTTGTGCAACAAATAGTGTATCATATTCCTGTTATTTTAACTTTCTTTTGTAACAAAAAATTGTGAGAAGCACCTCAAATTTATGATGCTACTAGTTAAATTGTCCGCGTTTTGCACTGTAACAAAGGAAACAGTAAATTTAAGATACGATCCTATTGTAAATTTAGCCAAGATATAACAGATGAAATTTTCATATATACACCATATCAACTATACCAAAACTTATTTAGTTTAAAGTTAAACAAAAACAACAATTTTTGTCTGATAATTGATTATGAACTTCATTAATTTTAAAAAAGAAAACATTCAAATTTGCCATTGTACTATTTAAAATTGTTCAATTTTTGTCATCCATTTCACTTTTGAACTTTTCACATTCTTTTCATTAATAAATCGTCTTGTATTTGCTTTCGCCATTATCGGAGCTCCAGCAAAAACTGTTACTCCACGCTTCAAAAATATTCAAAATTGTCCCTCGACGTATAATTATAATTTAAAGTTACACTTAGATCGAAACTCCATTAGAAATTAAGAACAAGATTTTTTTCTAACTACATGAGTAATATTAGATCAAAATTACCCCCTAGCTTCTTATTTTACTATTATGATTATACTACTACAATATAGAAGAGGGTTAGAAGCAAGTTAAGGTTTAGATATTCCAAATTATTGTGCTTTAAGGGTGCGTTTGGCATGAAGGAAAATATTTTCCTGAAAAATGAATGATTTTATCACTTATTTTTCGTTATTTAGTTGATGAATAAAAAAAAATTTCCGAAAAATATTTTATAGTGTTTGTTTACAAAGTAAAAAATATTTTTTAAGAAAATAACTTTTTATACTACTCTCCATAGCATAAAAAATTCATTGTAGAAAGCAAATACTCTTCAAAAGTACTCTATGAAAGAAACCCAGAACCACAAAACTTTGTTCTAGTAGTTGGAATCGGTGATTGCCATATTTTTAGTGCAATTGACCACAAAATTCTGGGAGAATGACACAAATAGGATCATTTGGTGTTATTGTTTAAATTTTGATCTCAAAACGAAAATTTTTAGGAAAATAGTCTCTAATTAAAATTCTGAAGTATGTTGGTCAGAAATTCTTGGCCAATTCTTATGGCGATTCGGCAAAATTTTGACAAAATTCTGATCGACCACCAATTTTTTTCGCATGGTAACTAAAAATTTTAGTGATTGTTAGAATTTCTAGTTTCAAAATTCTGACCAATATACTTTAAAATTCTAACTCGGGATTATTCTCCTAAAAAGAAATTAACAAGATTGAAATATAAACAATAATGTAAAAAAGATCCCTCCAGCATCATTTCGAGGTAAAAAATTACAGAAGTGATTGGAAAGAGACCTGCGTCCCACAAATTATCCAAAAGATGGAAGTTTCTACAAAAATCTAACCTTTTCTTTTTCTGTCCTCTTTTCAAAATTAGCCACAGTCCTTTCCAGAAATGTCCACATAAGGTTGCCAGCAGAACTTTCTAGCTTTTCCAGCACCTTCCAACATCTAATCAAAACAAAAACTATATATACACAATTAAACCCTCTACTAAATCCTCAGCCTCACCAAATAGAAAAAAATTCAGTACTTCATTCACAACCAAAAAACTAACACAAGAAATACAGTTCACTAAAAAGCAGCAAAATGAAGCCAGTGGTGCAGGAAAACAAGGAGAAAGTTGACACGAAAAACGTCGACAAAATTAAGTATATTGAAAGAAAGTTAACAGAAAAAGGAGTGCAGAGATTGGAAAGACATCCAGCAGATGGGCTACCATTGAAACATGATCCGAAGAAAGGACATGGCGGAAAGTATACTTGGGAAGGACCTGATAAGGAAGCTGTGAATGAATTGGATCCTGCGCCACCGGCATTGGACGAGAAAGATCCGAACTATTTGGATGAAGAAGCAGAGGAGAAGCTGATAAAAGAGGAGGAATTAGGTGGTGTTGTTCTTGGTGAAGTTGAAGTGGCAAAAATGGCTGAAGAAGGTGTTGCTAGAGTTGATGTTGATCCTCATTTGAAACTCAATTAGTTTTCTTGTTTAACCGCTTGTTTGGATGGTTAAACGTATTGTTATTTTAAATACAATGTTTGTTTTAGTTGTACTTACATTTTATTGTATCGTATCGTTTAAATTCGTCCTTACGTAATGACGAAAAATGCTACTTTATGAAACGATAGATTTGGTGTGGTTGCGTTATTTTTTTATTTTTTTTCTCATCTTATACTTTTTTATTATTAAATAATCTTATTTTATATTTTATTTTATTTTATTAATTATATAGTATTATTGCAAGTTTATTGGTGCATGACATCATAAAACGACGATAAATAATACAATCTATCTAAATATTATATACATTAAAGTGATACAGTACAATATAATACTATACGGTACATTATCAAGTGATATATAACAATCATTCAAACAAGCTGGGATTATTGACTTGTGTAATTGGGTTTTTGGGCTTTGTTCTGTTTGTGGAATCGGATTTAGTAGTTCTCAATCTTTGTTAGAATTTAGATGACCTGAAAATGATGTGAGTCATGTTTGTTTCACACAATTTAGTATTCAGCATGTAAAGGTGATCATGTAATGTAATAATAAGTTAATTTTAAATTTAACTTAAATTGAAATTCGAAATTTTTTAAAATTTTTTTTCAAAATTTTCACTCTAAATCACTAGTAAAAATTTAAAAATAATTTAAAATTGTATTCAAATCCAAACATAAATTTAATTTTCAAATATTAATTTTACATTAAAAAAAATATTTTGCTTTTAAATTTCACAATTTTTATGTCCAAACGCCCACCAAAATTGTGGTAAAATTCAACGAAAGTGTAGGAATGAAGTCGAATTGCTTACAAAAGGGAGCAACAAACGTGGCAAGACTCCAAAATCACTATCTCCTTCACAAAGCTACACGTCGCTTCTCACCGCTCACATTTTCTTATACAAACTCGTCCTATAAGTTTCATTACTTTCCTCATATAAACATTTCATCTTTACTTTTCCGCTCAAACATTGTCCAAAAAAGGAAAGAACAGAAAATGTATCCTATAGACGATGATAAGAAGGAAACAGCGACATTTCGAGCAGTAAGCCACGACGAAGAAGGCAAAACAAAGGTAACAAAACACGAAGTAAGCATCGAAACCCTAAAACACAGAGAAAAAAAACACAGAGACAAAGGCATACACAGAAAAGACCGTCGTCCAATAGATGGAATTCCTTTAACAAAACAGTCAAAATCAGGGCACGGTGGGAAGTTTACATGGGAAGGAAAATTGGCTATAGATGAAAATGAAATGGATGCTGCACCAGTGGCTATAGATGAAAATGATCCAAATTCTGTGGATGAGGAAGAAGAAAGGAGGATATTAAGAGGAGAAGTTAGTGGAGTTGGGGGTTTGGTTATTGGAGAAATTGATGTGGCTAAAGTTGCAAATAATGAAGGTGTGGGAAGAGTTGATGTTGTTGATCCTGTTTTGCAGACTAATATGTAAGGTTTTTTAGTGAGTTGTCAGTTGTCACCCTAGGTAATTTGAGAAATTAGAATAATTATGGTTACGAAAGTACTTGGTCTTAATTTTGTTTAAAATTGGAAGTTTAGTGTTCTGCTTTGTTCTACTACATTATTATTATTATTATTATTATTATTATTATTTTTTGGGTCGAAGGTAAAAGTTAGTGTTATTTATTTCTTCCTTTATTTACTCAAAGATAAACCTGAGTTCGACGGATTTCCTGCAAAAACGCAACTTATTAATGTGTTAACAAATATAACTATAAGGAAGATACTTAACGATTAGGGGATGTAGCTCAGATGGTAGAGCGCTCGCTTAGCATGCGAGAGGTACGGGGATCGATACCCCGCATCTCCATTTTCGTTTTCTTGTTCTTTTCTGTTTTTCCCTCTGTTATATATAACGGGCCTTTCCCATTAGGCTCTGCTCCCTTGTTTCCATCTTTTGTATGATATCACATTAGCCCATTATCATATTTCAAAGGAAAAATCGTGTGATACAGCAAATATTTGCACCGTAGCTATATTTGAAGAAAATTACGATTTTTCCTAAAATCGGATAACAATTGAATTTATACGCGGTTTTCAGGATACATCATATAACTTGATACAAATTGAAAGAACAGATCAATGTTGAAATTAATAATAAGAAAATAAATGCAAATTGAACAAGGTTAACTTTGAAGGTTGGTCACCCTCGAGTCAAGAAGTGCCTCAATCACCCTCGAGTCAAGAAGTGCCTCAATCACCCTCGAGTCGGAATAGAATGACAAGATAATAAGAACTAGAAATAATAGTGTATTGCTTTTGGATGTGTTTCTTGATGTGTGTTACAAATGACTAGACCCCCTTTTATATAGTAGGGGAGTCCTACTCTTGATACAATTCTATAAAAGGTAAAAAATTTCATAATTTGCTAATTAATCGGCCTCTCCTTGATACATATCGAGATTTCCGTCGTGATATCCAATCGATTGCGGATAATTTGGCCTTCCGTTATTTGGCCCGATAAAGTTTCCTCGATCATGTTCGATCCCGGAGTCACGCGTTCGATAATTTAACTTCACGCCTTGGTTCGATATAATATAGGGTCGAGCTTCAACCTGTCACGTTTCAGTCCCGACTTATCACACAATAGACGAGCCCGGCTTCGACCGTGTACAGATAGTCCCCTCATTTTTCGAAGAGAAGACGACAAGAAACGATATGGACTTTCGAACCTTGCTTCGATAAATCATGACGTAAGCGACAAAAGGTAACTGAAACGTCCCGTCGGTCCAGTCTCCAAGGCATTAAATGTGTGTCAATTGTTGGTCGGCCATTACGGGTATTGAACCGTCGTTTGCAAACTATAAATACTTCATCCTTCCATCCATTAAAACTTTTTACATTCAAACTTTGCTCTTGTGCTTTTAAGAAAATTTCATCACCTTCATCCTTTGGTTTTCTGGCTTAAGTTTAAAATTTCTTCCCTTCTAGTTTTCTAAAAACTTTTATAAACTATCCGCCAATTACGCCCTCTCTTTCATGAGTACCATCTCTTCACCCTTATTCAGAAGCAATGGCAAAGACTTCGAAATCGGTTCCTCAAAAGGAAACTCCCTCTTCCTCGAGACCGTCTGAAGAAGAAGATGTTCTGTTTACTGTTGTCGAGGAAAAGACACCGAAGCCCCCCTAAACTATGTTCGTTCCTGCGGGGTGCCCAACCGGTGCTGACTTCAAAGTTGAAAAAACCTCTTCCGTACCAGTTCGATACGAGCCGGTCTCGAGATATATATGCTCCATCACTGACAATCTCCTCCCCAAAGTCAAGGAAGATTGTAATTGGGCTGGTAAACACGTGGTGGTGCCTACGCCCGAGGAGTCAATCACTACCCACGTGGAGGGTTTTCTTAGTGTTTACACTTATCCCTTCACGTTGGGCCCTCTAGACCCGATCATTATCGCCTTATGTAAGAGGTACGAGGTGACCCTCGGTCAAATCCATCCCTCCTTCTGGAGGACAGTGATTCTCCTCCGCTTCTTTGTAAGCAAAATCGACAAATTCCCCTTCACCATTGACTATATCATGCGTCTGTATAGTCCCTGACTCTACCGAGGAGGATTGATAAAGCTTGCCCGTCGGGCCACTAAGGCCCCATTCTCGAGCATAGACGAGGACCGAGACCGAGGCTGGTTGGGCCGGTTCATTCGAGTTAAGACCTCGGATCTAATCCCGGCCGAGAAAATGCCATTTCCCGAGAAATGGAACATGAAACGTAAGTATAACCTCACCTTTAAGATTTTGTTTATTGCTTTTTCCTTTACTCTCATCTAATCGATGTTTCATGGTGCAGCTATTTCTCGGATGTCGGATGCAGTTCCCCGACTTAAGGAGTGGGTCGAGGGCACTTCATCATAGAAGCCCTATTTCGAGCGCGCGTGGCGCGAAATTTCAAAGGGCCGGTGGGAGGCCCGTACTCACGTTAAGATTCTTTCCTAGAATTGACATCTCTTGGGTTTCTTTCTGAGCTTACTCATCTCTTTTTCTTTTTAGGCCTTGGGGCCCGAAAAGTGAAACTACCAGTGAAGAAAAGGAGAAAAGCAGGATAAAGTGAAAAAAAAGAGAAAAGCTCCGAGTTCCTCGGGGCCCGAAAAGAAGAAACCGAGGGGGTGGTTGGTACACAAATCTAAGGAAACTACCAGTGTCTGAGAACTCCCATCAGATTCGCTCCACTGATTGAGGGATGAGTCCGAAGAAGAAGAAGACTCTGAATCGTTGACTCGCGTGAGGAGCGGTATCGAGTTGCCTCAAACCAAGGAGGCCGGTGGAGAGGCAGTGGCCGAGGCCTCCGAACTAGAGAGGGCGGAGCTTGTTTTGCCCCGAGCTAAGGAGATCGATAGAAAGACCGTGGCTGACGCTCCTCAGGTAGAATGCAATGTGCCGAAGGATGCTCTCGGGGTGATAAATCTCTCCGGGTCGCCTTCATTCACTGATTTTATGATAAATGAGGATCAAACGCTGAAAGGAAGCCCAAATGAGGGTCCTCAAGGGGCAGTCAATTCCTTCAACAACTTCTTCGACGGTATGGATTCCACCGCCTCGGAAGATGTCACCGGGTTAGGTGACTTACCGGTACCACAGAAGATGTCGCCTTCGGGAACCAGCAGATCTTCTTTGAGTCCGAGATTGGTTGACCGGTTCCCAGTCTGAGTACAAATCCTGACCGGAAGCGGTCAATCTTTATATCCATACCGGAGGATGCCCGGGTTCTCTCCGCCCCCGTGGAGGTTTCCAGCTATCTCCGATGCCTGGTGACCGAAGAGGATCAGGCCAAAATGGACGAGGTGGAGGTCCCATGCCTTTTCTACGAGGCTCAACATGCATTTAATCAAGTAACTTTGAAAGCTTTCCTATTACGTACTTAGATTAAATTGCGAATAATCATAATATTCTTCTTTGTGTTTGTAGGCCTCGGTTCTCCATCATGAAACTTTCCTCCGATACCAGTAGGAATTAAACCAACACGAGGCCGAGGCTTGGGAGCTCACCGAGAAGAGGGATGCTTACAAACTCCTCAGTGAGAAGCTCCAAGCCGAGTTAGAAATGGCCCAGAAGGAGCATGCCGACGTGGTTGAGCAGGAAAGACGAATATTCGAACTTAGTGATGATGATTCAGACACATTGGCTAA